TTTTTCGACCTTCCAGCATCGCCTTAACTTATAAAGAGAGGCTCAGACATAGTAATTTTAGAAAAATCTGAAACTTATGGTACGTGAAGTGTATCACTTAGATATTATTTTGACCAAGCACGAAGACGTACTTTTCAGCCAATGTCGAGAAAAAAATTTTTTTTAATTTTAATATTTATTGTCATTCCTGTTTAAAATTAATCAAATTTTTAATAATCAATGGATATTCAATATAAATATATGAAAAACGCACACTTTATTTACAAATGTAACGAAAACTTGCGATAAATAAAACCCAATGAAACGATCGAGAGCAAGCAAAATTAAACCCAATAAACGTAACAAGGATCCGAAATAAAGTATTTTGTGATTTTGAAGATTAGAAAAAAATAGAATATACAAATAATGTGTAATATTATTTATTCTTTAATTGGTATTGTTGTATACTTTATTGCTGTTATTTGCCATCAATAGCCTCAAAAAACCTTGCGTATGTGACAAAGCTGCGTTTATAATGTTTATATATAATGCTGTGCGAAACATTAAGTTTCCTCTGCTTTTATGACGAATATTATCATCCAGACTCATGCAATACTTATAAAGCTGACATATGAAAGATTGTACGATATACATCAGTAATTAACCAATAAAAGAATAATATTTATACAAATTATTATTGCATATATATTCTATTTTCTTCTAATCTTCAAAATCACAATGGGTTTAATTTGCTTTTTTATTAATAATTATATACATATTTATATATTGAATTTCTTATAATCATATATATATATATATATATATATGTAATATATACGTACATGTATGTCTGTGTGTATGTGTGTGTTTCGTATCTTACATCTTGTTTGAATTTTAAAAATATTTAAAATTGTTTACCATTACAATTAAAACACATCAGTTTACTTATATTAGATACTTTATTGATGCGGTATTCACCGCGCATGCGTGAAAAAACAAAGAATCATCCTGTTCCGTATACTAAGTAATACCAACAGTAGACACTGGGACGGTGGGACCTGAGACGCAATCAGTTGCTGCCGAGTTACTCTGGTGTACGTTGGTCATCAATAACGCTCTTGCTTTTTGTGAAAAGGAAATCTACTGATATTTCAACAATGGGTCACGAAGGAGAAGTTACTCTTATTCAGAATTCTGTAAGTAGTATAGTTTAAAGATTTTAATGACCCATCCATACGAACAGGATATCTTTAATGTGGTTTACACAGATATGTGAAATAAGATAACCTTGAGTGCATGCCGCATACGCACGCGCGAACGATTGCGAACGGTTCTGTCCTACTGCAATGTTGCCAGAAACTATAAGAGAAGCATAATACCAATGTAAAGAGGTATGGCAGTTATGGCTCACAAGTCACACGTGGTCCGACAAAATAGTATTGTACGAATATATCGATTTTCTTCTGAAACAGATTTAAGTTTATAAATTAAATTAATAATTCGAAATCAAACAGCAACATGAAAAATATGCAACGCGCCTGTTTCCTCGTTTCCTCACCACAAGGAAAAAAAAGTAGATTGATTACAACCACCTGACTATAGTCACAGACTGGTATAAGTCTGGCAATACTGTATTCCAACGTGCCCGAGCGCGTGAATCGTATTATACTTTTTCGCGAAACCTATACTTCAGCTTCAATCCTAGGTCTCGACCTTGAAAATAATCGATTCCGCATTGCGGTATTACGCGAAATGATCTTTTGTTGTAAACGTAATTCAGACCGAAAGCGCGAGCACTAGCGAAATGACTCCATGTATATGGTACACATGTACCGATCGTGAAGATAGATGATTCGTTGAATATTACGTCAATCGTAAACGATTTTAATTGCGTCACCGTTTAATCGCGAAGACTTGAATCATCGAGTCGAGGGAATGGCGTATATAAGTATATATAAGTAGTTGCCGTATGCTTTTTACTAACAATAAGCAGTAATTGAGCACAATTATCAACGAGATATTATTAAACACATGAAATACATGATAATCGTCCTATAATTGATCTATATCGTATAATATGTATTATACATACATCAATATGTATACGTAAATACAAACAAATACACACACACACACTCACCCGCACAATAAATATTTTATACTAATTTTAAAAGCTGTATAAGTATCGCATACTGCTATATGTAACTATCTAATATAACAGTATGAGACATTTACTTAGCTTTTAAAATATTTGTCATTCGAATAATTATGCACGATAGTGTGTATGTGAACAAAATAATGAAATGAATGTGTGAATCAATCAGTGTAAAGAAAACATAGTTACCTATAAAAATATAGAATATTCAATTATATATATTTTTTATTAGTAATTATGCTTTTTACATTGATTGATTCATTTCATTATTTTGTTCACATACACACTATCGTGCATAATTATTCGAATGACAAATATTTTAAAAGCTAAGTAAATGTCTCATACTGTTATATTATGCATAAAAGTATTAAAGTTATAGCAAAATTATTATTTTACGAGATATTTTATATTTTATGTCAAAATATATCATGCAGATTAAAATATCAGATGATAGACCATTCAATTTTTAGTACCTTGCTCTTTTTATACAAAATATTAATAGTATTATATAGAAGAGCTAATCTTCTATATAATATAATATTTTCTAGTTTGTTGTATATGTATATACATTTATAGAGATAATTGACGATTAATAATGTCGGAGTTCTCCACTTATTGTTAGCTTTAAACCTAGTTCATTTGATAAGCAAAAAAATTTATCTTGTGTCTTACAATTAGTTTTATGATTGTCACGTATTGAGTGTTGTATTATAATATTTATGATTAACTATAATGTTCAAGATTTGTGAAGTTTTACTTACAAAATTTAAAAAATATATATGTATATAGTAAGGGAAAGAGGGGCAAATAGTGACGGATTTTTTCGTCTCTCCTCTACAAACTAATTTTAAGTTTACATGATATGATTTTTCATTAAAAGAGTACTTTCCACTTTTAAATATACAAAAAACTTAATTAGAGTTTTCATAAGTTATATATATACTAGATTTTCGTAAAAACTGAAACCGCTACATTTATCACTATTTGCCCCACCCTATGGGTAAATAGTGACACCCTGGTACATGGGACAATTACAAAATACATAATTCTTAGCTCCTAATCGATCTTTCTTTTGATTTTGATTAGATAAGGTAATTTATATTAATTTCTGTACTCTACCATATGTAAATTTTTATTTATTGAAAATCACATTTATTCTGGATCGTGTAATTAATCTCATATTATTCCAAATAAATTAGAAAAATCATATTCAAATATTAAAAAAGTTTTTTGACTTGTCATTATTTATCCAACTAACAATTGTCATTATTTGCCCTAGGAATTTCTTTTTTTCTTTAAAACTTTACTGAGAGAAATAAAATTAATATACAAGCATAGGAATTATATCAAAACAGAGGAAAAAGGTATATCGTATAACATAGAATAGGTTAGATCTCATTCAACGATTCAGCAATTAAGAAAATATAACTTCAAATATCAAAAAAAGATCCAGGTTTTACCTTATCGTATTCTTGAGATAATTTGGAGACGAAAATTTTAATACGAAAATGTTGAAGTTATAATAGTTTTCAAATTAGTAGCGGTTAACGTTCTCGAATCACAGAGCTGACAGGCGCTCAGGCATGTCGATATGACAAGTGATGAACCCCGACATTATTAATCGTCAATTATCTCTATAAATATACGTATACAACAAATTAGAAAATAGTATTATATAATTAAATAGAAGATTAGCACTTCTATATAATACTTTTAATATTCTGTATAAAAAAAGCAAGATACTAAAAATTGAATGGTCTATCATTTGATATATTAATCTGCGATGGTCTATCATCGGATATTTTAAACTGCATTAACTTTTAATTCTTGTCAGTTTTTACTATAACGACGCTTTATTTCATACAATTATATTGTATTACACTATTAACCCCTCGATACACACCACAATTATCAAAATATACGATGAGAGTCGTTCACAAGTGCAACAAGAAAATCAATCAGCATTACAGATAATGAGCTAACAATAAACTTAGAAACTTTCGAGAAGATTACACGATAGATTCGATCGTATTTATAACCTTTTTTAAATATGATTTTTGTATAAAACTACATTTACCATTTTTGCTTCTTCGACTCATTTTGCAATTTTGCCACATTTTTATAAATAACGTTCTAAGTAATACATATTTCTTAACATTGAGTCTAGAATCTATTAAATAACACTGACAAATTGTCAGTGTAATTGTCAAATTGTAACCGTTAAGTTTTTAATTTAAAATATTGATTATATTAAATTAATTATACTGATTTAACAAAGTTATTACATAAATAACTACAAACCCTGTGAATATTAGAATTAATAGAAATGTTAAAGCAAAATTAATGTAAAATAAATATTCCAAACAATAAGTCATAAATAGAAATATAAAAAGAAAACATATGTTACATGCACTAAATATACTTTTTTTAAACATTAATAAAGTCGTCGTATGTGATATTTTATTAATGTTTGAACAGAAATAAGAAATTGTTGCTTTATATCTGACGTTAGATACCTAAATATCATTTCTAATTAATGTTTAATAATAATTTTATTGGATCATAATTTCTGTTTCTTGTATATATATGGTACATACAATAAGTTTAATTTTAAAGCCACATAGGCTTGTGATAGAAAAGTATTTATGTTAAATTTGAAAATTGACATTAAACTTCACAGCTATTATTTGAGCATCAGATTTGTTTTTATTCAATTTGTGTGAAAAAATTTTTTGAAAATAGATAACAAAAACATACATTTTTATATTATACGAGATTCGAAAAAGAATAACTGAATGTTTTTGTTACTGTTGACAACGGAAAACATTCAGGAAGTTTATTTGAACCAAGCACCAAACATTTGCACCGTCAACAGATAATTCACAAAATTTTGAATAAAAACAAACGCGTCTAACGTTCAAACAATAGTTATGAAATTGTCAAGTTTTAAATTTCATTTAACATGAATGTTTTTTTATCGTGACGTCGCTATGTGGTTTTAAAATTAAATCTATTGTAAAAGGGACAGAAATTATGCAATAATTCAATAATAATATGACATAAACCTTATAAATACAGTACTATTACATATCATAATGTATAAATAAATGGCTAAATATTTTTGAAGCTTAAATCAAGATTAAAAACAAAACAATATAATTTTGACAACTTATATTAAAATCATTGAAGCTAAATACTTTTCTATAGCTTTATTGTAAAAATATATTTAAATACAATAAATATAGACATTGTATTGATTTTCTTAAAATTTGTTTTATACAAATGTGAGATGTAGAAATCGAATCTATTTAGAAAAAAAATTGTTTTATTTTTTAATAATCTTTATAAATTGTAAAGTAGAGAAGAAAATTTGTGTTTTTGTAAATATAAACATAATTTAAAATACATGAAAAAACAATTTTATCGAATAAATATGATTTTTTGCTAATATATGTACTGTTTTTAAAAGGTCTGAAAAAGTTAAAAAATCATTTTATTTTACTGGTATTATTTTACTGATATTAAAGATAGACATAGACACTGTTTAGAAAATTTTTCATTCACAATTCACAAGTTTTTTTAACAGTTCTGCAAAAAATTGAAATGTAATAACACATCTTTTTGCACATTAAAGATTGCAAATGTATGACATAGTACCAGGGTTGGATAAGTTACTATTTTTTAACTAATAATAAGTAAACTTAAAGTTAACAGTCTTGAAAGTTTACCTTATTGTCAGTTAAGATACAAGTTAATTCATAATAAAGTTAATTGAATTAAAAGTTAAGTTAATAAAAATGTAATTAAGAAGTTAAAAGTTTAATTTGTACTTATAGTCCAGGCAAATTAGACTTTTTAGAAGAAAAAATTTATATAGTTTTGTTTTTTGTGAATGAACTTAAAAGTTAGAAATAAGAGACTGAAAAGTTCCCACTCTAATCGTGGATGGAACATCCTCTTTTGTATAAAAAACTACCCCTGGAGCGGTCTCGTTTGGAGTTTTTCGCATTTATCTTCTAAACCGTTACTCAGAAAACATCGTAGGACATAAAAAAATCATAGGACTTAAAAAATTTGCCATAAAATTCTGTATAAGAAAGGTTTGATATATCATAATGCTAATTCCCATATAAATCTCTTAATTATGGTTTAAAGTTACGGGAACTGAAGCGCGCAAAGAAAAAAATCGCTTTAGCATACTATGTGTATGTGTTTGTGTTTGCGCATGTATGTGTATATATCTATCGGCAATTATTGAAAAAGAACAGTTTTCTCGCGGCAAGCACATTTCCGATCATTATTCGTAAAAAAATGCTGTACCTCTAAGGATAGAAAACTTAGTTTGTATGTTGCACGGTTCATGGTATTGACTTTCTTATATCACATAAAGCAGAAGATTTCTTGATGAAGATAATTTGTAACTGTTACTTTAGATTATAACAAAACGCACAACGGTATATTTTATATACTTTTAAACAGTTCGCTTCAAAATTCAAAATAAGACGACCTGGTATCATCATTTAGTACATATTACAAGCAATCATAAAATATAATTAATAAAGAGCTTGAAATTTTTAATTTTTTTTTAGAAAATTAAGAAATTTTTTTGTAGCAAAGATTTTGGAAAAAAAATATTTTATAAAACGAGCTTGCCAAACACTTATTATTTGTCATCTTGTTTGATATATTTATCCAGAAAATTATATTAATACACAAACTTAAACCGTAATGTTGTTCATTCACAATTTCGTTGCAATTCACGAAGAAAACATTTGCAATGGTAGAAATATAATCCGACAAATCACATTAATTCTGTTCCCCCATGTGTGTGTGTGTGTGTGTGTGCGTGTGCGTGCGTGTGCGTGTGCGTGTGTGTGTGTGCGTGTGCGTGTGTGTAAAACAGATACATTCTGTAGAACACTGTTTAGTCTAGTATTTATGCTTGTATAGTCTAAGACAGATAATAAGAGTTAAGATTTCGTAAAATATAATTATGTAATTATGCAATAATACTATGTAATATACGTCCAATCAATACTAAACAGATTCGAGTAACCATATAGATCATCCCAAATTAATATTTGCTTGATTTATACATATAAAACAAGCTTCAGCTGCACTGGAACTTGTATGAAAGAATAGTACTGTGCTTTTACATATGAACTTAGGTGCTTTAATATAAGAGAAAAGATTGTATGAAAATGTATGCGAGTGTATGTATGCGTGCGACATTGATGTAGTAGTAAACATGAACACATCACTACACACTACTACATCAATATCGCACGCAACATGTGCACAAAAAGAAAGCGCAAAAAATCAGAGAAAAACATTTTAAAAAATGTAGGAAACATGTATTTTGTAGGAAAGATTCTGCTCCACAATTTTTGTTCTGATCATTTTTTGCATAAAAGTAACGGTCTTGGAGATATTTGTAATGAAAAGGAAACTAAAGCGATTTTTTTCTTTGCGTGCGTTAATTCCCGTAATTTTAAATCGTAATTGAGAGAATTCTATGGAAATTAGCTTTATGGTGTATCAAACCTTTTTTATGCAGATTTTCATGGCGAATTTTTTTAGTCCTATGATTTTTTCACGTCCGAGTAACAATTTAGAAGATAAATGAGGAAAACTTCAAACGAGATCACTCCAGGGGTAGTTTTTTGTCCAAAAAGGGATGTTCCATCCACGATTAGGGTGGGAACTTGTTAGTCTTCTTTTTCTAACCTTTTTGACAGTTTATTTACAAAAAATCAAAACTATATAAATTTTTCTTCTATTTGGCCATTTTTTGTCTAATTTGCCTGGACTATTTATACGAATAACAGCGGAGGTTTGCACTCACATATTTTTATTGATTAAATTTTTTTATATCATAATTTTAGGGTTTCTAAATAAAGTATATATTTGTTATGCTTATTTTCGTCAGGTCGCAAAAAGAAGTCCGATTTTGAGGGATTTTTTTCAGCATGATTCAATGTATAAAAGGCGAATAGCAATTCTTTCCCGCGGTCAGACTATATTTATTGTATTAATAATTTGTCTTGATATTCTCCAATTCAAGTTTGAACATCGACGATATGTATTTTTTCTTGGGTTTACATGAGAAGTATTACTATAAAAGTATTGCAATTTCAAGTAAGTTAAATTAAAAGTTACCAATAAAATGTAACCAAAGTTGAAGGTTATTAAATATATTATTAAGTTAAAAATTCAGTGTCTAAAATGTAACTAAATGTAATCTAAAATGTACGTTAAGTTAAAATTATTTATTTTTTTAACTTAATTGAAATATGAAAATGCCAACACGATCCAAAACTGATCTTTTGTTGTTTGATAATCTTACAATATATGAATCTTTAACAACTCTTGATCTATGCAAACTGCGCGCCGCATAATCATCAATTTTTAAAACGCAGCTCTGAACCGAATAGTGTAATATCACAATTAAATTGCTAAACGAAAATTCTTTCAGAATATAATACTTGAGGATATGTACTTACTATTTTGAAAAAGAAATAGCTTTAAAAAGCTGAATTATATGAACGCCTAAAAATAAAAATTTTTATTTTAAGAAATCAAGCTTTTTTTAAAAAAAATAATAAAATCATTTTTACAGCAAAATAATTACGAAATTTTGTTTATTTTTACTACAATGAGTGCAAAAATACAAATAATAAAAATATGATAGCTTATACAAAAATATACGGTTTAAAAAATCTATATACCATGGTATATTGACATCACAATGCAAAAATGATATAAAAACATCAAATATCTATTTTAAAAGCAAAATGTTAATATAATCTATGAAATTAGCACGAAACATGTAAAATATAAAAAATTCAAAATTTTGTATAACTTGCTGAAAATACTATAACCCAATCTGCAATATGGATCATTGAGGGCACACGACTTGGAAGGATCCCGATTAATCACGTTACGATTGAACACAACCATTCAGAGACGTTTTTTCACTATGTGTTTGTTCACTGTTTAAGCGCTGTGATTGGCTTGTATCCAATTATAACATGGTCAATCGATTCGCACGACTTCTATTCGTCTTTCTATTCTTCGCAATTACAGACAACTGTATACTAATGTCCTTGTATAGAATGTATAGAGCTCCTCTAGTAAGAGTTAAAACACCGTGTACTGATTTTTCATTGGTTCCGCCATATAGAGGGAACAAGCGATACACACACATCGCAAAAAGGATTTGGAGTCATAAAATAATGTGGAGCTGACAAACCACGGGGTTCTTATCCTTGTAGTATGCAAAAACACACATACACCACATACACGTGCATACCTACACATACACATATGCATACCACATGGAGGATGTGGAATCATAAAATACTGGAGTTGATAAAACATGGAGTCCTTATTCTTGTGGTATGCAAATACACACATACACATACGCGCGCGCGCGCGCGCACGCACACATACAAACACACACACACACACACACACCGTGCGCGCGCGCGGTAAATGTACACAAAACGTGTACATTTTTCTCCATAAATGACAAAAATCTATTAGTTTTGATAAGTTATATCTCAAAAACTAATCATTTTTTAAAGTTATGTCATTGAGATTTTTGTTCAGGGTATCAACATCTTCAACATAGGTACTAAAAATTCAGACGATTTCACCGAAAGCCAATTTCCACTAATATTGTGAGGAATCTTTTGTGTTCAGCAGACAAAAATACATCAGAAATGATTATTCACACTTGTAATGCAAAAGAAAAAGTCAAATTTTGTCGGACAGTGTCATAATAAGCTATAACAGCTATAGCCTTTCATTAGACGAATATTTATACATTGCACTTTTTTATGTATATTATTACCGTTTATTTATGTATTATTTATCACTCAATAACAATTTCGTTTCTATTATCTATTATTTAGTAGCAATTTTAAGTGGCTGATATCAGTGATATCTATGTTTGATAATTATCTTTCTCTTACCTCTTTCTATTCATTCCTATTATACAGTGTCTTACATTAAACAATGCATATTCTTTTAATAATTTACGTATTTTCTATCCATCATCTGTCTATCACTCAATAAATATATATATTTGATAAAAAAGAACCGATATAATAGTTATTTGTTTACAGGATGACTTGAAGAGTAAACTTAAAGACGCAGGCAATAAATTGGTAGTTATCGATTTCTTTGCTGTATGGTGTGGACCATGCAAAATGATTGGGCCAATGATTGAGGAATTGTCAAAGGTTTTATATCATATTAATTTTTTATTCAATTGAGTTTTAAAATAGATTTGTTGAAATTGAATTGAAAAAGACATGATTATCTTTGTTTATATAGGAAATGCAGGATGTTGTTTTTCTTAAAGTTGATGTGGATGAATGTGAAGATATTGCTGCTGAATACGAGATATCCAGTATGCCTACCTTTGTTTTTATAAAGGAATGCGAAGTGGTAAGTATTAAATTCAAATAAAATATTTATCTAAATACACATTTAGAATTTTCTTACTATTATAAAAAAAGTGATCAAATACTCGTAAATAGTCAATAATTGAATAAAATTTTTTATGTTTTTAGTTGGAGACTTTTTCTGGTGCAAATTACGAGAAACTTAAAAATACAATTCAAAAACACAAATAAATAAATTGTCACAAATGTTTAAATATATTGTATTCTTAAAAACTGTAAAAGTGACATACTGGATTAGCTATAATTATTATTTTACACAAATAATATAGAATGGCTATTTAAATAGAAAAGATAATTTTCATTATTTACACTGTACACATTGAAAAAGATTAAAAGCAGTTATTTTTTAGTAATGAAAACTTATTTTCATGGATTTTATTGCAAAAATGTATGATGAATTTACAAATATATGAGATATAATTATGACTCACCATGTGATATTGGTATTGTGGAATTTTATTATATTTATATGTTGTACAACGATATAAAATGCCCCAGTTTCAGAATTATATGATTGGATAATTATTCTAACATGAATTGGTGATAACATATTATTCTTTTTTTCTACAAGTGATAAGAGTACATACATACAAATCTATTTCATAAATTATTCAAGATAAAATTTTTAAATTATTTTGTCTCAACTATTAAAAAGGAAGAACGACATTCCGAATAATTTATGTATTAAAAAATAAGAGTGGATTATATATAGGTCCATTGGGGAAACCATTATAAAAAACGCACCAAGTTATCTACCGCAAGGTGGTGTAGAAGTGATAGCCATGGAAAAAAAATAAAACAATTTTCGATCAAAATGTGTGAATGCGTAATTAGTTTTGTAACCACTGTTAAGTTCTGATTTTAATTCTAGATTACCACACCATATTTGCCACCCAAATCTACCACACTGGGTAAAATTTATCCGACCTACCTATTTTGTTGCGTAACTTCGGTTCAAAATCGATTTAGAACTTTTTTAAACCTATACGCCAGACAGTAAGAAAGGTGACTAAATGGATAGTAACACTCAAAGATCTTAAGGACATGAACAATTTGCAAAAATGTAAATCAGCTTTTATATCTTTTCCGAAAAAGGCTGATTTTTTCTTTTACATCGCAGTTCTTTTCA